CTCTCCTCTCCCTCTATCTCTCTCTCTTCTCTCTCTCTCTCTCTCTCTCCTCTCTCTGCCCTCTCTCTCTCTCTCTCCTCTCTCTCTCTCTCTCTCTCTCTCTCTCTCTCTCTCTCTCTCTCTCTCTCTCTCTCTCTCTCGGGCTTGTGTCTTTGTGTGTCTTTGTGTTGTGTCTGTGTGTGTGGAAATGTCTTTTATGGAAACAATAATTCCTTCCAGTCCCAGACAAAGAAAGATAGAGGACTCTTTCGGTCAGCAGGATCACTTTGAGATGCAATTGGGTTTTAGGTCCTAAGCCCGATGTGTCGCGTACTTAATGTAATTATTCACTTATTTATTTACTATATCACCTGTTACACCTCGGGGAACACTGCACTGAAAACTAGGGAAAATATCTAGAAAAACGAGCCCTGGCTCATAATCATCACTTAATACTCCCCTTACACGCAAACGAAGCTTATTTTGGTGGTGTATTGTTGAATAACACATCACATGTTGAGAATGTACTCCGACAACAATATATTGCTGTCACTGCAATGATGTTCTAGTAGTCTCTCCAGGATTTTGACGTACTATTCTGGCTTTCTAACGGAATTTGGCAGGGTAGAGACAGGTAAAGAAAAAGTGGGACATTACAAATTGTACTTTGGTCCCCGAATTAGTTACAATGGTCTGAAATACCTTTTGTCGGGGAACTTAGGTTTAATCACCAGCGGAGAACCACGCAATCTGACATCCCACTTTGACTGAAGACGACGTTATCTTGGCAATTTGTCTTAGAAAGATGCGCATGCACTATGAAATGGCAAGTAAGATGTTTGTAAGTGTATTTTGTTTTGTACATTCATCCAATACTACAATGATGAATAGCACAAAAACCTTCAACACATCAAGGCCTACGAAAGTAAAAGACAGGACCAAATAGGTAATCACGCGAGACAAACAATAACACAGATATAAAAAACATTCCTTGACGTAATTCATTCATCAGTGTGGTTATCAAATGACTTTAATGAAATATCTTTATCACAATACGTGCTGTAATTTACAAAGATCCTTTGGGGGCATTCCGTCCCTGTAAAAGACACGAAACATTCATCGTCCTTTTACTGGTAGCGGGGCTGATATCCGACCAGCACCTTCTCGTACTGGACGGGGGCGGGGGCGGCGCGCACCTCGGGGGCCGGGGCCGAGTACCCCTGCACGGTGCGCACCTCGGGGGCCGCCTCGGTCGACGGCACCTCGGGCGTCGGGTACTCGGTGGGCACGGCCGTCGGCAGCGCCGCACCCTCGGCACGGAAGCCCAGCGCGTCGGCCACGTAGCTCACGGCGATCTCGGCGCCCTCCGGTGACGTGTAGCTGTACGAGCCGGCGACGGCGCCGTCCGAGCCCTGCTCCTGCCGCTCGATGCCGTCGTCGGAGACGAAGCGGAAGCTGAAGCCCTGCTGGCCGTCGTGCTGGCTGTCCTCCTCGAGGATTCTGGCGACGGGTTGGAGGGCGGCACGGACCTGCGGGGCCTCGTACGTCTGGGAGGGGGCGGCGGCGCAGACGGCCACCACGGCAGCAAACACAAACTGAAACAAACATTGGATAAGCGTTATCAAAATCCGAAGAAAAGGTAGATTTCATCATTGCGCCAATTGCTTTGGTAGTTATATCTTCTTGTTAGTGTATTGCGATGTCTCAAAAGTATCATGACCTGAAATAATCTCGTCTTGTGCAGAATATGTACCCAACCAACTCAAACAAAAGTTCGGATTGTTATGGCGAGGCGACGCTAATAATGCTATTGAAAAGCTCGCTCCATGGCTTAGTTTTGGTGCTGAGGTTGTTTTTGACTTGGGTGACGAACCACATGCATACATCGACCAGTTTTAGATGCGCTTGTTCTGCCCTACCAGCTTCATGTTGTGGTGTGTTGACTCTGGCAGCGGCGAGAGATGAAGTGGTGCCTCTGCTCGGGAGCAGGCGTGTTTTATACTGCTGAGCAGGACAGACTACCCCACCGGAGGGCCCGTTATCCAGGGACGACCGGGTCAGGCAGATGAACCAGTTCACGGGGTTCAATGCCAACAGCGGGGAATATTACCTAACTGACCCGGCCAGAGGACGCCACCTGCATCTCGCGCCCATTCGATGGCCGAGGGATGGACCTGAAAGTGAATGAATAGTTTACAGTTTATGTTTTGAGGACATCTATACACGTTTTATACACCAGGAGGTATCGGTTTAAAGACGTTAGCAAGTAAGCTGTGGTCATATTGTCATCACTTGAATTCATAGTACCGAGAAAACGGGAACCAAAGGCCTTCTGTGCTTGCAACAGGTGACCTTGGATTATCGGTGCGGGCGTCTCTCATTCCTCGCTTGTGGCTAGGGGTGTCGGAGCAGTACATCACAGCATGGCCGAAGCAGCTCAGTTTTACGTAAGCTGTCAAAACGTATGATTTAGTTGTGGCTGATTCAGCCGTGGTCAAGTCGATTCTGTAATGACATCTTAAGATTAAAAAACTTAACGTTTTAGCCTCCCATTGCGGCTTTTTGACGGATTCGGGGGGGGGGGGGGGGTGATGGAGGTAGAGAAAATGAATACTAAACATCAGAAACCTGGGTAAAGCTGTTGATTAATGAACAGCTGTCAGTCCGATAGTTCATGTGTCTGGAACGCTTGCCCTCGGATAAACCGACCTGCGGCGGCGTGAGTTCGAGTCGTTTTAGGCACTTGCTATTTGCATATGACTGAGATAGCCTGCGGTCGGTGGCAGCGGCCGTGAAAAAGGTCAGGTGACGTCAGATGGCAGCGGAGACGAAGCCAAGTATTGCGGTACGTTGAGCACTCGCCGCCAACTTCTGACCCGGACCCGCAATTTCCCGATCAGATGTTGAAGTATGAGCTCTCTCAGCTTTGCTTACCTTATAGCGCTGCTTAAAGTGGAACATATTCCAGGAATCCGATCAGCCAAAAGAGTTCGAACTCGAATTCAATGAAAAAGCCTTCTTGAAAAGTACCTCCCGAGGACTTTGACTGGGGGTTCAGCGAGGTGGGAGCAGGCGTGACGGTTATCACCATGAACGAAATACAGGATGCAGAAGCATGAACGAAGCATGTGGCCTTAAGACATCGACGCAGAGAGGGCTTTTGAGTGCAATGGGAGCATCTCCCTTTATTGAAGTACGTAGGCAGAGGCTGTCCTGATGTTTAGCGCCCGCGGAGGTCCGCAATGATGATAAGAGTACAGCCGCATAACAATGTTTTGAATCCCTACGTTCGTGCTACAGAATGTTTGCCGTTCTCAATGGTTTCAGTTGAACATGCCCAGCTTTTCACAAGCAGAATTCAGCAAAAGCACAGTGTAGAAGCATCATCAAACATTTTATTGGCTCCAATCACACATGAGGCATACGAAACAAAACATTGCGTGTATCTTCTGCTTGAAGGTCATCAATGGTTGATCCTGATGTTCATTGCAACCCCCCGACTGGATGTTTCGGGGTGGGGTGCTGATACCGCAATTGACGATACAAGAACAATATGTCACAGTAAGATACAGGTACATAAATGAAAAAATAACGGGTACAAAAAACGCATTTGATTTGTTCACTGTTTACATGCCACCAACAGCGTATACGTTTTAACAATCAAAACTTCTGACTGTTATCCCCTGAGCAGAGATCCGACACAAGCTGCAAGTGTCGTTCTGTCATAGTTGTTAGGCCACATTTTGAGAAAACTAACGATCACAAGTTGAACAGGCCTGTTTTAAGGTCTTGAAAGTAAACTCAATTCGCATATTTCCACACCATGTGCAAAGTTCAGCAACCACCCAAGAAGATTATGACATTCACAATGATAAACGTCATGTTACGTGCGATAGAATCGTCCAATTCCTCGGAACTACAGCCCAGTGGTGGACTTAAATGTTGACCGCGTAATTTGGACTAAAAAATAAACAAAAATTATCTGCGTACAAAATCCTGTGATGTAGTTCTGCTCTCCAGTGCTATTTATGCTGATACAGGCCCTGGGAGCTCACCAGATCGTGTTTTTGAGACATGTTCTATAGGACACTCCTTTGAAGAATTTTCACCAAACGGGTTGATCCGCGATTTATGCGCGACTTAGTGCGTCAGTGTGCATACATCTACCTACAGTTTTACCGGTATGATTGTCCGTTTTCTCCCCATCACCTTTAGCTGGTCTCATGTCCGCTTGACTCCTGGTCGTCGAAAACTGGACGCGTTCGTCACTCGAGATATATACAGAAGTGCTGCCACGAAGAACTGTTGTTCGAGGGCTTATCATTATAACTGAGATGTAATCAGAGGCACCTATCATTTAGACCTCATCAGCTACACGACATTATAGAGTGCTTTACACAATACTTGTCCTCTGAGTCATCTACTAGACGCTCGCTAGATTAATCATTGTCAGATGATTCTTGAGACAGTTCAGGCCAAACGCTCGACGTATATTTCGATCTTCAAATCTGCTGCAGTAAAATGTCATATCCGACGGTGGACCGGACGATACTCCGGTGAAGGTGAATGCATACGAAAAGGCGGCATGGTTACCGGCAAATATATTTTTCTTTCTACACGCATTCCAGTCTTTCAATAATAAATTATACAAAGGCAACCTGGAAAACCACCAAGGCACACAGAGCACGACAAACGACAGAGCATACAGACAGGGACACAGGACAAACACGAACGCAGACATCAATACGATCATAGCCGCTGACATTCAGCAAGCCTGCAGGCAGTGGTCTCGGCATTCATTCATTAAACTGGCAATCAAATGACTCAATCGTATTCATGAGTTCAGGGTTCTTATGCTCAGTTAACTATCTGCAATGCACCAGGAGGTACCAGTTATGGAACATTGTGATGTTAACCGACTGTTGGCGGTACTGAATATTCGAGCTGCGCTCATCCTCATACCACTATTGCGTGCCTTAACAGCATCTCGTAGTGTCTTGAAGGTCGCTAACTCAGCATAACAATTTTTACTCATGACGCTTAGAAAGCAGAAGCTCAGGGCCTTTCTTATATCAAGTCCGTTGTAGCTGATTTATCACAGCAAGCCATATCGCGTTATCTAAAAGAGCACGGTGATTCATACAGGTCTCATGGGACTTCCAGTTACCGGGATATGTGCGGAAACATCCATCGTCTTTTTTACTGGTAGCGAGGCTGATATCCGACCAGCACCTTCTCGTACTGGACGGGGGCGGGGGCGGCGCGCACCTCGGGGGCCGGAGCCGAGTACCCCTGCACGGTGCGCACCTCGGGGGCCGCCTCGGTCGACGGCACCTCGGGCGTCGGGTACTCGGTGGGCACGGCCGTCGGCAGCGCCGCACCCTCGGCACGGAAGCCCAGCGCGTCGGCCACGTAGCTCACGACGATCTCGGCGCCCTCCGGTGACGTGTAGCTGTACGAGCCGGCGACGGCGCCGTCCGAGCCCTGCTCCTGCCGCTCGATGCCGTCGTCGGAGACGAAGCGGAAGCTGAAGCCCTCTTGACCGTCATGCTGGCTGTCCTCCTCGAGGATTTTGGCGACGGGCTGGAGGGCGGCACGGACCTGTGGGGCCTCGTACGTCTGGGAGGGGGCGGCGGCGCAGACGGCCACCACGGCTGCAAACACAAACTGAAACGAACATTGGAAAAGCGTTGTCAGTCAGGAAATAATGTCGAAACCAAATAGGCTCCACAACTGCATCGCAATGAGTTGTATATTTAAAATGTGATTACTGGAATGTTCCAAAACACGCAAAGTGTGATATGTACCAGACATTCAGGGAAGGTACGACATTATAGGATCTAAAAAGTGTGCTTGCTTAGGGCTAAGCCGAGCCGCTGAGGCCCGCCACAGACGTGTTCCTCGATTTGATCATGATGAACATACACACGTGAAGCCTTCAATTCGAGTAAAGACTCGTGGGAGCACATAGTAAGGTGCATTTTGTTCTGACTTACCAGCTTCATGTTGTGGTGTGGTGAACCCGCAGCAGAGACGAGAGATGAAGTGGTGCCTCTGCTGGGGAGCAGACGTGTTTTATACTGCTGAGCAGGACAGGCTGCCCCACGGGAGGGCCCGGTGTACAGGGACGACCGGGTCAGGCAGATGAACCAGTTCATGGGATTCAATGCCAACAGCGGGGGAACATTACGCAACTGACCTGGTCAGAGCACGTCACCTGCATATCGGGCTCTCCGATCGCCGAGGAATGGCGCTTAGGAGGCGAAATGTCGGATTGCCTGCACACCGCTGCTGGGGCCGGAACAGCGCAGCGCAGTATGACCGGGGCACCTCAGTTCGACACACGCTGTCCAAACGTAAGATTACATTGCCACCCAGAGGCGAATCCATGAACAGTGTTTGCGTGGGCAAACGTCAAAGAGATTTAGACCAATTGTCTACTATCTGCTGTTACATTAATTTATTCGACCTGTATTTGACAGGTGGGTTATATCAAGATAGCTCGCAATCAAGGCTGATATCATTTGAGTTATGTATGATGCATTCGTGGCGTATCAGTAGGGCAATTGGTAACTTGCGCATCTGAGAAGCGAGAGACACGACATTCGATTTCCTGTGGTGCCCGTCCTTCTTGCTCGGATGAGAGGCAGGCGACGCCACACAGCCTCAGCTGCTGAGTGCATGTGAACCGGCAAAGGCAAATAGAGGAGATTCCAACGGAGGTCTCATGCGCGTTAACTGCCACATGAGTTCTGTTTACCCGTGCCCGGACAGGACGAGCTCATTCCCCCCTTATTTTTCAAGCACAGCAAAAAAAAACAAAAAAAAAAAACAAGCCCTTGCAACGCCACCACATTTTCAGTGACTGTTCATCCATTCATTTGACATCCTATGGACAAATTTGAAGTTTGGATCTGCTAAGGCCAGTGA